ATCTGTCTGTAACTATTGCGTGCTTTAAGAAATGCTGTTTTGAACATTAAAGGAAGAATGCAAGTTAATGTTTTTTTTGTTTACTATGTTTTGTTTACTCTTTTTGGTTTTCAGTGATCCCATATGAAAATGCTTATTTTTTTAACAAGTCAAGTCAGCAAGTTATAAATTGACCTTGGTCTGAAATGCATATTTTACTTGTGAAATTCTTTGACACATTTCACTGATAAGATGCAAGTTTTTTTTCTTTATAACACTGTTGTGTTGCATCCTGAGTAAGTTCAATCAGGAACTCTATGGGAGAGTATCATAACGGTTCATGGAACTTATCTTTGTTTCCCTGGGACTTGGGTGATTTGGTCAAGTTGTCATCTTGATTTACAGAGCCGTACTGTGGAGTCTTAATATAGAGTTCATTTCATGAACAAGCATTGTTTATTTACATTATTTTTTTGTTTCTTCTGATTTTACTCCTTTAAATCTCCCTGTGTCTATGGTATTATTAGTGTTTTGGAACCTGATAATGCAGTATCTTATAAATCACGTGGGCAGAAATATGGGTGTTCAGCTTTATACCGAACTGTTCGTTCTGTTTGTCTGGAGTTAAAAAAAAAGCTTTATTGTAATGAAGCATTATACAGTGAAACTGAATGGGTAAATTTCAGCGGTGTTAAGGTACTGGTTTAAATCTTCAAATCTACATATCATAAACAACATTTATGTATTAACCAATGATTATGACTTTAAATGGTTCTATAAAGCAGCTTTGTGAGTGGAAATTGTTTTCACTAAAATAATTCCACATGCTGGGCAGAATGAAATGCTGTTTCTGTCCTTGAAGATTGGATTAACAGGCAACTTGGTGTGTGTTACCATCTACCTCATGATTGAGTTTAGATGAGTTCATAATCCATGAGATTTAAAAACACAGATTTTATATTCATTACCTGAACCCTGAGAGAGAATTAATGTATTGCACTTTCATAGTTTGTTCACTAACATCTGTTCTTTTGTGAACAGATTTGCAGATCTTTGGGAATTTTGAAAATGGCATAAGGTTGAGCTGTGCCACTTATACCATCCTGTATAAATAAACTATCAGAGCATGATTTCTGAGTGAAGCGCTCCGGGATGCTACCTCGCATGAAGGGCGCTATACAAATGCAAGTTCATGTTATTGAGTGCTGTTCAAGCGGTGATGCCCAGTTAGTTACTATCCTGTGGGATGTCCTTGGAGCTGAGCTGGCTTCAAGGTTACATGCTTTGCATCGAGTTAACCATTTGTGGTGATCTCAGTAGTCTGAGCCAGATAGGTCTACAAAGCATTGCTGATGAAAGGCCAGCCAATCTGCACTTGATCAGCGAGCGCATTGGATGCCCTCCCGACATGAAAATCGCTATACAAATGTAATTTGCTGTGGTTTCCTGACAGTACTTAGAGGAACAGGGCGGTAGCTTTCATGGGATTTTGCGCCCACCCGCTCATGCCTTCCACACCTCCTTCAGTGCTAACTGTGAGGTGATGCTGGACTTCCTCTAAACCAAAATAGAGTGGATCCCCTCAGCTGCCTCTGCACTTCTGTCTACTATCCCCTCCCCATCCCCCCTTCACACCTCGACTGCTACCCATCCCTCCCTCCACACCTTTGAACCTGTCCCCTCCTCTCACCACTACTATAACCCGTATGAACCGACCACCTGCTCCCTAGACCCCATCCCTACCCCTCGTTACCTCCCAGCTCCACCACCTTGCCCCTCTACTCACAGACATCACAAACCTCTCCCTGTCCACTGACACCATTCCCACCGCTTTAAAAACTGCTATCATCACTCCTATCCTTAAAAAAACTCTCCCTGGACCCATTCCTGCTCTCAAACTATTGCCCCATCTCCAACCTCACTTTCTCTCCCGCCACTTCCTTCACAAACTACTCCAATCAGTTTTCCGTGCCACTCATAACACAGAAACAGCTTTGGTCAAAGTGACAAATGACATTCTGTTCATCTGTGACTAGGACTCCCTCTGCCTCCTCATCCTCCTTGACCTCTCTCTTCGATACCATTGATGACTCTATCCTCCTCCACCACCTCTCCTCTCACCTCAAACTTCATGGTTCTGTCCTTGAATGGTTCAGATCCTACCTCTCACATTGTCTTCACTTCATCTCCACAAACGTTTTTTCCTCATGGGATCTGAATGTAGTCCCCTTCTCTTCAATATCTATATGCTCCCTCTTGGTGACATCATTCGCAGACATGGGGTCAACTTCCACATGTATGTGGATGTCACACAATTCTATGTCTGCCTCCACCCTTGACTCCAAGACCACTGCTGTCCTGACAGAAAGTCTGTCAAACATCAAATCCTGGATGAGAGCTAACTTTCTTCAGTTGAACGTCAAAAGACCCGAGGCCCTCCTGATTGGCTCCCGTCAGCGCCTCCACACCTCAGGTGCTGACAGCATCACCATCCAAGAATGCACACTCCACCTTACTAAGCCAGTCTGGAACTTTGGCGTCTTGTTTGACCCTCAACTATCCTTTCTACTCCACATGCATCCATGACCCGCTTTGCCTTTCCCCATCTCCGCATTGCCTCGCTCCATCACTGTCTTACATCGCAAGCCGACGAAACCCTCATACACGCATTTGTAACATCTAGGCTTGACTATGCAAACTCCCTTCTTGTCGGATTCCCCAACTCCTCCCTCTATACGCTGCAGATGATCCAGAACTCTACAGCCCATGTCCTCTTCCGCAACAGGCTCCATGACCCTATTACCCCCATCCTCGCTCGACTCCACTGGCTTCCCATCACATAGAAGGATACAGTTCAAGATCCTGGTCCTCACCTTCAAAGCCCTTAATGGCCTTGCTCCCCCTACCCCTGCGACCTCCTAATGCCCGAACAACCTGGCTGCTCCCTTCACTCAGCGGGCTCCAGCCTGCTTCACGTCCCCCCCCTCCCCCCCATCCTTTCGCCACTCAACCTCCACCCTCTGGAACTCTATCTTGCAGTCCCTCTGTCTCGTTCCCTCCATTGCCTTCATCAAGAACCATCTGAAGACACTCTTTTACTGTGCCTTCGATCACCCTCCTTCCCTCACTGCCATCCACCCTCCCCATTCCCGAAAGCTTGGGTCTGAAACATTGACTGTCCACCGCCTTGGGATGTTCTCCCGACGTGAAAAGTGATATACAAATGTAATTTTGTTCTTGTTATTGTTGTGGGGATCCTTTGCACCCGGATGGGCAAGGATTATTTATTATTATATTCTTAAAAATTGTGATGGGTTTCTGCATCAAATATACCACCAAATTGATCCATTGTTCAGTTGACACTATACTGTGTCAGCCATCTGACAGACAAAATTGTGATCTAACCAGTTATAATGATAATCCTTGCATTTGATATAGCGCTTTTCACGTCGGGAGGACGTCCCAAAGCGCTTCACAGAACACACTGGAAAATGAATTGACTGTATATTTGTGGGCGAACGCGGCAGCCAATTGTGCTCAGCAATGTCCCACAAACAGTCGCAGATTGAAAATGACCAATTTATTATTGTTTTTGGTTTTGGAGGGATTATTATTAGGCTCTGTGTGGAGTAAGGAAACTTGCCCAAGAGTTCGCCCTGCCTGGAATTGAACTCAGGTCTCTCGCTTACAAAGCGAGTGGTCTAACCACTGAGCTACAGGACTCCACTCCAGTTGTGTTGATTATTCAGAGTATCTTTCATAAATTAAGTGAAAATGCAATAAAACAATCTTTCTTTAAAATTATGATGAACCTTTATAAAACACTGGTTAGGCCCCAGCTAGATTATAAGAGTGTTCAGTTCTGGGCACCACATTTTAGGAAGGATGTCAAGGCATTGGAGAGAGTGCAAAGGAGATTTACCAGGATGGTACCAGGAATGAGGCACTTCAGTTATGAGGAGAGGCTGGAAAAGCTAGAATAAGAAGAAACTACTGGCAAGTGGGTTGGTAACCCGAGAGCTCCAAACTAAAATAGTTGTTAAAAGAAACAGGTGAGGAGAATTTTTTTCACACAGCGAGTTGCTTGGATCTGGAATGCATTGCCTGAAAGGGTGGTGGAAGCTGATTTGATAATAACTTTTAAGAGAGAAGTAGATAATTATTTCAGGAGGACAAGTTTGCAGGGCTATGAGTGGGGGAATGGGATTGATTTGGGTTGCACTTTTTAAAGAGCCAGCACAGACATGATGGGCTGAATGGCCTCCTTCTGTGCTGTATAATTATATGATTCTATGACAATATTTTATGTGTATTATAACTATACCCCCTGTTTTGTTTCATTATCAATGAATTTTAATGAATCATTAGACTACTGGATGGTTTGGCTATTTCTCCAATAATTACCAGGTATCATCTTGAAATAATGGAAACCAAGGATGAAGTTCATGGTACATTTGTTGCATTCATTGTACCTTAGATACGTGTGTCAAGGGGCCCCTTCACCCACAACAACGCATTTAAAGTTGGAGTTGGTGCATCTAAGCCGTGACCTGAGATGAAACCTTTGATTTTTGGTATATACCAGCAATATACCAGCTGTTTAGTAATTGTGACTGCACTCGGCACTCCTTGACCTGCAAAATCAGCCTTAAACATTGGAACAAAAGTCCTGGAAAGGTAGACCTTAGAACTGGTATTACTCAAAGACTTGTCAAGCTTGTGTATTTTCCAAATGACCTTTAACAATATATTAATGGGCTTCAATTAGAGTTTCAGGACCATTGTTCCAAACATTTTTCTAGGTGAAGGAATGTTGGATGCTAAAATGATTTACTACCTAGCACTTACCATTTTGTTCACATTTGCGCACGGCATCAGTGCTACATAAGAATGTTTTCACCCATGATGCTACAGAATCATAATCCATGTTTTCATAATATGAAGAATTTCTCATTCTCAAATTGTTACTGCTGCTGTGGTTTTCATCGAGTTTCAACTTTTATTGTTCTGTTTCCTTTCAGCATTTGGCGAGGGCCCAACGTAAACTGTAATGATACTTCTGGTTACACCGCTTTGCATCATGCAGCTTTGAACGGACACAAGTAAGTATTAGAAAGTATGCTTTATTATTGTTTTAGTAGAGAATTTTAGGAAACATAAGTTGAAATGTTTTGGGGGATATTTCCATTTCCCCTCCCCCACCAAATTATCTGCTTCGTACCAACCTGTCTGTGCCATCTGCTTAGTGGGTTCTGGCCTGGTCCATATCCCCTGCCTCCCCTCTCCACAACAACATCAACAAAATTACATTTATAGAGCACATTTCATGTCGGGAGGATATCCCAAAGCACTGAACAGTCAGGTGTCGGGACCCGAGCATGGGAGGGGGTTGGTGTAGGGGTGAGGGAAGGCAGAGAGATGGGAGGGCGACCAAAGGCATGATCGACGAGAAGAGTCTTGAGAGGAGGCAAGGGAGGAAGCGAGGTGAAGGGATTGTGGGATGGAGTTCCAGAGTGTGGGGGCAGAGAGACTGAAAGCCCAGCCACCGATGATAGGGCGGGTCGGATGGGAGACATGAAGCATACCCGAGTCCACTGAATGGAGGGAGCGGGCAGGTTGGTAGGGAGTCAGCAGGTCAGAGAGGTAAGAGGGGGCAAGGCCATGGATGGCCTTGAAAGTCAGGACGAGGATCTTGAACTCGATCCTCTGGGGGATGAAGAGCCAGTGGAGTCGGGCAAGGGTGGGAGAGCCAGTGGAGTCGGGCAAGGGTGGGAGTGATGGGGTCATGGAGCCTGGTGTGTGAGAGCACACGAGCTGCTGAGTTTTGGATGATCTGCAGCTTGTGAAGAGAAAAGTTGGGAAGGCTGATGAGAAGGGACTTTCTGTAATCGAGCCTTGATGTGACGAATGCATGGATAAGGGTTTCGGCAGCCTGAGGGGTGAGGCAGTGGTGGAGTCTGGCAATGTTGTGTAGGCAGTGCCGGTCATGGCGCGTATGTGGGGGAGAAAGGACAGTTCAGGGTCAAACATGACACCCAGGTTACTGACTGGCTTAGTGAGGTTGAGTGTGCAGCCGTGGATGCTGATGCTGCCAATACCCAAGGTGCGGAGGCGCTGGCCTGAGCCAATCAAGAGGGCCTCGGCCTTGCTGACGTTGATGGAGACTTGATGTCGGACGGGCAGTTGGTCAGGACGCCAGTAGTCCTGCAATTGAGGAAGGAGGCAGAGAGATAGAATTGGGGTTATCCACATATACGTGGAAATTTACCCCATGTCTGCGGATGATGTCACCAAAGGGGAGCATGTAGAGGGTGAAGAGGAGGGGACTGAGGACAGAGCCTTGAGGGACACTGCACGAGATAGTGCGGGGGCTGGAGGAGAAGCCATTTGCTGCGATGAAGTGGAGGCAGTGTGAAAGGTAGGACCTGAACCAGTCAAGAACAGAACCTTGAAGGTTGAGGTGGAAGGAGAGGCGGTGGAGGAGGATTGAATTGTCTATGGTGTCAAAGGTAGTGGAGAGGTCGAGGAGGATGAGGAGGCAGAGGGAGCCCTGGTCGCCCATGGTCAGAATGTCGTTTGTGACCTTGACCAGAGCAGTTTCTGTGCTGTGGACAGCACCGAAACCCGATTGGAGGGATTCATGGAGGGAGTGGAAGGAGAGGAAAGAGCGAAGCTGGAAGGCAACGGCACTCTCAAGGACTTTGGATAGGTAAGGGAGGTTTGAGATGGGCAGTAGCTAGATAGCTGTGATAGGTCAAGGGAAGGTTTTTTCAAGGTGGGGGTGATAATAGCTATTTTGAGGGGGAAGGAACAGTGCCAGATGACAGGATGATATCAGCGAGTAGTGGGGCAAGGAGGGGAACCTGGAGAGGGGTGGGGATGGAGTCCAGGGAGCAGGCGGTAGGCTTCATGGAGGATATGTTGGTGAAGACAGAGGAGGGGCTAACCGGTTCAAAGGGAAGAAGGGATGGGTAATTGTTGGAGTATGGGCGAGGGGTAGGGAGGGGATGGAAGTTGGGGGGGCAGTGGCAGCTGAGCGGATTCCCTTGATTTTGGACTCGAGGAAGTCCAGCATTTTCACACAGTGAGAATCAGAGGAAAGTATCTGCGAGGCGTGGCGGGGAGGGCGGAGGAGCCGGTTGGTGGTGGAGAACAGGAGCCTGGGGTTGCCCTTCACCTCCAGGATTAATCTGGAATAGAAGGATGATTTGGCCGAGGCGAGAGCAGAGCAATAGGTGTTGATTAGGTCCAGCCAGATGTGACAGTGGACCGTTAGGCCAGATTTGAGCCAGGTAGCCTTGGCAGCCTGCACCTGGCCCTTAAACAAGCAGAGGTGGCTGGTGAACCATTGGCAGTCTGGCCTTTAAGTCTCTCTGCCCCCACCCTTTGGAAGTGCACCCCACAGTCCTTTCATCTCTCGTCCTCACTTGCCTCCCTCAAAGGCCTTCTCAAGACCTGTCTCTTCGCCTGAACCTTCGGTCACCCTCATAACCCCCGCTATCCCCGCCCTCTACTACCCCTGATCCCAACCCTCAGCTCGGTTGCAAATCCTTGACTGTCCAGCACCTTCACTGCGAGGAGATGCTGGACTTCCTTGAATCTAAAATCAAGGGAATCCCCTCCTCGGTCCCCTCCTCTTCACCCTCTATATGCTCCCCCTTGGTGACATCATCCGCAGACATGGGGTTAACTTCCACATGTATGCGGATGACACCCAACTCTACATTTCCTCCTCTATCCTCAACTCCACGACCACCGATGTCCTGACAGCTGCCTGTCCGTCATCGAGTCCTGGACGAGAGACAACTTTCTTCAGCTCAACGTGTGCAACACTGAGGCCCTCCTGATTGGCTCACGTCAGTGCCTCCGCACCTCAGGCGCTGACAGTATCAGCATCCAAGGCTGCACTCTCCACCTCTCAAAGCCAGTCAGGAACCTCGGGGTTCTGTTCGACCCTGAGCTGTATTTTCTTCCTCATATCCGCGCCACAACTGGCACCGCCTTCCATCACCTCCGAAATATCGCCAGACTACGGCACTACCTCACCCCTCATGCGGCTGAAACTCTGGTCCACGCCTTTATCACCTCAAGGCTGGACTATGGGAACTCTCTCCTCGCCGGCCTTCCCAGCACCTCCCTCCACAAGCTGCAGGTCATTCAGAACTCTGCAGCTCGTGTACTGTCCCGCACCAGGCTTCGGGACCACATCACTCCCACCCTCGCTTGCCTCCACTGGCTCCCCATCCTCCAGAGGATCAAATTCAAGATCCTCATCCTCACCTACAAGGCCATTCACGGCCTTGCTCCCTCCTACCTCTCCGACCTACTATCCCCCTACCTACCTGCCCGTACCCTCCGTTCCTCTGGCTCCGGTCTGCTCCACATCCCCCGCCCCAACCGCCCTACCATCGGTGGCTGGGCCTTCAACCTCACAGCCCCTAGGCTCTGGAACTCCATCCCCCAGCGCCTTCGCCTTGCCTCCTCCCTTTCCTCCTTCAAGGCCGGTCTCAAGACCTTTCTCTTTGACCGTGCCTTCAGCTCCCATCTCGACTCTCTACCCCCTCCTCGCTCCCTCCCTTCCCTTCCCTCACCCTGACCATTTCCCCCTTGCTCGGGTCCTGACCCAACTGTACAGCGCCTTGGGACATCCTCCCGACGTGAAAGGCACTCTATAAATGAAATCTTGTTGTTGTTGTTGGGACATCCTCCCAATGTGAAAGGAGCTAAACAACTGTAATTGTATTGTTGCTGTTATTGTTTGCACTCAAGTTCGTTGGTTAATATAGTTGTCTCTTCTACAAGAACACGGGTACTTCCATGGATACTGGCAAATCCTCTATTTGATCATCTCATCAGGAGGCTAGAGAGAATGCTGGAGCCACTCTCTAAGGGAAATCCAAGCTTGCATAGGAATCAGATCAGGATCTCCGAGGTCTAAAGTTCTAGCTCTGATGTTTTGAGGGAATGTTAATATTTCAGCAAGCAGGTGAGCGGAGAAGAGGTTGAACTACAGCAGTGTAATACTAAACGGCCAGGAAATTAATTGTGTAGTGATGTTCCATCAATTTTATTGAAGGTTATCCAATTTTATTTTTATTTTACTGGGGCAACACCCTTCAATTCTATGCAATGTAACACCCCAAAATGCTGTTTTCCACCATTCATCACCTTCTCCTCGCACCCCCTCAAGCAACCTCGATCCTCAAATCTTTTACCAAGTGCTCAGAAGTCCTGAACTACTTTGTCTCAAATATTGAAAACATCTGCTTGACTGGCTCCGCTTCCACCTCTTGTCCCCTCGCACCACTCACCCCATACCTTCTACACTTAACTCACCCTCCTCTGGCCCTGGCTGGCAGACACAGTCAGCCACAGTCCTCTCCTCAGGCTTCATCCCCCTCAAAATCAGGATTCAGAATTCACTGCTTAAAAAAAAAACACCCTTGATCCCTCTAAACATACCGATCCATTTCTAATTTCCCTTTCCTGGCTAAAGTTCTGGAATGTGTTGTTGCAAATCAACTTTGTTCACACCTCTCCCTCCACTCACTACTCAAGCCCATCCAGTCCGCCCTGCCCACAGTACAACAACAACAACTTGTATTTATATAGAGTCCCTCACGCAGGGTAGCATTCCAAATTGCTTGACAGTGGTGAAGCACCGCGCTGAGCTGGGGGGAGGGGGAAGTGACCGTACGCATGGTCGAAGAAGAAGGCCTTCAGGCACTACCTGAAGACAGGGATAGAAGGGGCAAGGTGGAGGGATAAAGTAAGAGGGTTCCAGAGATTTGGGGCGTAGCCGACAATGGTGGAACTTGGGGGACAAGCAGAAGGCATGTTGAGCAGAGGCAGTGGGTTGTGGGGTTGGGGGTAAGCAGGTTGAGAGATGGGGAGGTCATGAAGCAATGGAGACCTGTAGCTCAGTGATTAGAGCACTCGCACTTGAGAGACCTGGGTTCGATTCCCAGCAAAACATTGGGAAAGTTTCCTTACTCCACACGCCTCTGTTTACCTAGCAGTAAGTAGGAACCTGGTTGTTAGTCGATTGGCAGATTGCTTTTCTGGGGATAATAATTCCTTCAAAAAAATTAATAATTGGTCA